AAGAAAATGAAACGGAAACAAGTCTGAAGTTTGCTACAATTTTTTATGCATGAAAAATATTTTCATGGTTTTTGTTATTGTTTATTGGTCAGGTTTCGGTTCTTTTGAATTCAATTGCAGCGAAGCGTGATAGCAAACAATACCAATATATATAAACAGTGAGGTAGATGAAAAAAATCATTTTCCTTTTCGCTCGGATTCACAACAGTATTTTTTCTGTGACGGTGGATGGATGGAGTGTCCGTCTTTATCTCGTTTTTTTTCACACCGTGTGAAAAATAAATAATTTTCACCGAACGGACTCAATTTTCTCAAGTTTGAATGCGATATTTTTTGCTGTGTGTTTCGCTTCACTCTCGTGGTTCATGAGTCCATTTCTCAGCGGTCTAATTTGCTCGTGTTTTTCAAACCCAGTTTTTAATGACTTCCCATTCATTTTGCTTGTAACAAATATGCATGCAATTTTTTGCCGAGCACTTTGCATCGTGGCCGTACAGCATTTTACCTAAGCTAATTTCAGTGCCATCCACACCGTCATACGGATAGATGCGTAAAGAAACATTGGCCAGTAATGTCGTCGTCGTCGTCGGTGAATGAAAGAAAAGAAATGCGAGAGAGAAAGAAAAATTGTTCGTGAAATTACAGTTTTCCTGAATGATTCTTTTTTTTTCTTCCACTGTAGTCAGAGAGCCACTTCCCCGGAGTGATTCAACCAATTCAATGCGTTTTCCTGTTCCCATCACTTCCTCTCTGTCGCTGCTTTCAAAATGGTCGCTCTATTGTTCGTCACAAAAGTTCGTCGTTCGCATTAGATTTGTGTGCGTGTGACACCAGTCACAAAAAGTCTACACAGGCCGATAATTCTCTCTTGCAAATGATCCAAATGTATCCGCTCGAAAAATTACGAATACAAATCAATCGACAGCAGCGAAAGTTTTCTATGGTGTGTGGCGTGTATATCAAGTAACGGAATAAATTGATGTGAAAAAACCGACTCAATATTATCTTTGGGTTTCAATTCAGTCGACAGATATTTCACCCTCAAAAGATGCGCTCTCTCGCTCTTACTCTATCTCCGGCAAAAAGTTTGTCATTGAACCGCCGCCACCGCAATCAAGGCTAAATGACATGACGTGCAAAAACAAGCATGTTACACACAATTGGTTCCATAAAGTTTTGCTGCCCAATCCGGCCACTGTTCGTCGTTATGGCGCGCGTATAGAGTGTACTTTGTCTATGTGTATGTGTGTGGTGCAATTAATTCAATGTACGCGATGTTTGTTCCCGTATACAGATTGTGGCTATGTTTTCTGGTGTGTTTGTGATTGCAAGGAATATTTGCTGAGTTTCATACTCTGCTCGTTGCCAAAGTTACAAAACTGCTCTCAATTTATCGGCGAGATCATATTTTATTGCGGCGAATAAGCACAAACAACGGCATACTTTGCCCAATCCTTGCTTGGGCTGTAATTTACTACAAACAAATCGAATTTCATGGTCTGGTTTTGTGCGGTGTGTATGTGTGGTATGTGCTATACACTTCCAGGTTTCAGTGCAACAAGATAATTGCCCCGTATCATGTGTACACTGTAAACATACACACGAGAACTTTTTGCCAAACGGCAATTATAGCGAAAAAAACATCTTACTATCTTCGGTGGATGCTGCGATACTTATGCATACACCAAGGGAAACAAATTGTAAGAGTAACGATAATAAATCTTTACACATTTACAATGCTGGAAAGTTCAGTGCGTTCGTCGTTCGTTCGTTGTGTACGCTTTTTTTTTATCGGCGGTGAGAAATATAAATGGATGTTGGGCTACATTTGCTCCAAGTCGAAATGTGCGAACGAACAAATTACAAATTCACATGTTGAAGGGGAAAAAATGGGGCTAGGGAGAGAAATACGATTGAAATAGCGTAGCATGCATGGGTATTGAAGACGCATTTCGGGATTTGTTGCTCGCATGCTGTTCACGAAATGAAATGAAATGAAAGGAAAACAAACCGCAGACGCCAGTTATGCTCACCTTTTTTTATTCTCCGACCACCATCCCAAAATATATAAACGAATTACTTTAAATTATGGAAATTGCCAGTTTTATTGAATTTACTGGGTTCATGAGTTATTTAATATATACACACACATCCACACATACGCTCCGTTTTCTCAACCCGATTTCAATTAAATACGATATACAGATTACACCTTCAGAAAAGCGTGGAAAAAGTTTTTATGGTGTTGTTTTCTTTTTGCAACGCCTGAATTATGCATTTGAAAGCGAAATTAAACGGAAAGGTAAATCAATTTTTGAGTTGTAATGCGTGACTCTCGTCTTATAGTGTGCGGTAGCAATGTTATTGTTATCAAACTGTTACATTCCACTTTACGTGCGCATTCAATTTCACCGTTCACAGTTTGAAATGCATGTGGAACAATCCACATCGCAGCGAACATTCAAATACTGCGAATTGGTTGTGTGATTCATGGAATAAATTGAAGCTCCAAGTATTGAGTTAATGGTGTAAAATGCTCCACTGAGATAAACTGTTGCCACCGACTCCCCATTATTTTTCAAACATGCTTTTTTGTTTTCCATTTTTATTTTGTTTGTTTTCCATCGGTTCATAAATAAATTCTCGGTGCAATCGTTGCTCTCGCTTTCCATTCTCTTTGTTTTTATTCTCGTATAAAACAAGAAAAACAAATTTGTTCGCGGTTTTGTCACATCAACCGGTCGGAAAAAAGATTTCAGTACGCTGACATTTAGTTAATGTGTCCCCTGGTGATGCTACAAGTGTATGCATTTTCGTTGATATTAATTTTGACACGAGCGCTAAAGTATTCGCTTGAAATTTCAAAGTTGTCATGATTTTTGGGTGTTTGTGTATGGTGATCACACATACAAAACAAGCAATTTCTACTGTTTGTTGTTTCGTTTACCTCTTACACATTTCGATGAGGTGCCTTGTTTGTATGTGTGTCGTTTATAATGGCAACAATAGCGCAGCGCCACATCGATGTCGCACAAAAGCTCAACGATGCATAATTAAATTTTGCATGAATCAAAAAACCCAGTGCAAAAACCAACAATGACGATGACGACGACGACGACGACCAAACCACAAAATATGCAAACAAAACAATAGAGCGCTTCGGCACTTCAATATTGTATTGTGTCTGGCAATGACAGTAAACAATTTTGTTGCCAATGAATATTTTACATAATTTTCATTTCGGACACTGGCACTTTACACTTGAACCTCATCAGCTCGGTTTGATGTGTGACTCGCCTGCTGCTCCTGCTGCTATTTCTCATCTCATCGCGGTGCATCCATTTTAATGTCAACCAAAAGTCATTTCCGCTAAATGCTCCCCAAGGTGTGTGTTTGTTGATTTTTCTCTTTCTCGCTCTGCCTCTCTCTCTCTCTCGTCCATTGTTTGTTCCATCAATAATAACGTGAGTGTCACTGATTCCATAGCAATTTTTAAAAAAATTGCTTTTCATATTTCACACGAAAAACGACGGGATTCAATCCCAATACGAATTGAACGCTATGAAAACGGGGTGCTTGAAATCTCTGGTGAATTGCAATTTTGATTTGAAAAAAAAAGGTCAACACTCATTAATGAGAAACAGTTCAACCTTCCCTAGGCGCTATTTGTTAATTTGAAACGAGATTTTTCGGAAATGAATATAACCCGGAAAATCATTGGCATTATTAAGCTAAAACACAAACACAACCAATTCCATTGCACCTGATGTATTCAAAGCCATTCTACCTTTAAACGTATTATGATGCGGCAAAGTTAGTTTGATACTCTATATTTAAATGGCAAGCGTGGCTCGCTTTTAATCACATTCACCACCGAATTAAAAGTGGACAAAGTGGCCTTTGTGTAATCCATTTGCATTGCAGACTATTTTAGTGTGTCTGTGTGTGTATCTCTTCATCTTAATCTATTAGCAAATAAAAGTTTGCCTCTAATGCGATGGAATAATGTTGACTGCACAGCTGTGGCATGGTGTTGCCAATAAAGGCGACAAAATCAATTCATTAACCATTCTCCGCCTAGAATTTGTTGTCTAATGGGCTAGAACTCAATTTGTATGCATGAGAAGTCCCGATAAACCATGATCTTTTTTTCTCTCCTCCTTCACTCGGTGGATTTTCGCATTTCCTTTGTTCCGGCAGACACTCGTACAGATAGAAAAAACACACACACACAAATGAAAATTAGAGCTGAAACCTCAGTCAATAACCTAGAGTTATTCGAATTCCCACATCAGAATCGCATGTGATTTCAAACGAAACTTTGAACATTCATGACATTTCTATCTCTCTCTCTCTCTCTCTCTCTCTCTCTCTCTCTCTCTGACAAAACATGCCGAAAATCCCTAGCTCACTCTCGTTCTCTTTGAACATTTCCGTGGCATATTCACATTGAAACCCCGAAGCATAGGCCACCTCTAGCATATTTTCCCATAACAAATTCTCAAACATACAAAACTGAGGGAAGTTAAAATATTCAGCCGTGTTCTGTTCGGGGGGATGGATGGATTTTGTTAGGAAACATTTTGTAATTTTGCTCGACGAAGCATATTTAAATCAGGCAAATAAAATTGATTGCCGCTAAATCAGCCATTTTCCATTTATCAACTGGTTTTATATCCGCCACCCGATTGAAATATAACGTAAATCAATAATGTCTATTTTTGGATATATTATCCGACACGCAAACATTATTAATGGGCCAATTGATTCGAATTGGCGTTTGTTGATATCGATAAGCATAAGCGAGTGAGTGAGCGAGCGCGCGCCTATTTATTTATTTGAATATAAATCCATGATTTTCATAATCGCTTTTCTGATGATCGGCCAAATAAACAAAATCAACCAACATAAACGGGTGACCGGTAATTATATGCCCGTTTTACACTCGCGAGTCGTTTTATATTTCTGTTCTATTTTTTTTACTAGTTTTTGCTACTTACCGCCACAGTATTGCTTGAAATCGGAGCAGCAATCGCCAAGTTTCAGACAGGCATGATCACAATAACAGGGCTTGTCATTCAGATCTTCGATAATTGAATTTATGGGGGCTTTCTGCACAACGCACGATGAGTCACGACCATTGCAGCACAACGTTGATTCGCGACATGATCCACATTCAACACGATTCACCAACATCAATGAACCGACCAACAGCACAGCAACTACACTTTTCATTGAGCACAACATTTTCGCTGGGTTTTTCTCGCTTTTCCTCTCTCCCGTCTCTCTATCTCTCTCTCTCTCTGTGTGTGTATGTGTGTTTGTGTATGTTGTTTACGTTTCTTTGTTGTTGTTTTTTCTGAACAAATCCGTAATTTTCGGATTTTTCACAGGAAATTATTTCCAATGGGCAGATAATCACAATCTCAAATAAGATGTTGTCACCCGTTGTTTTATTGACACTTTATTTATGCACCCAGATATTTGATTTTCCTTCGTCTCGGCTACAGATTTTAAAGGCACAAACACAAAACCGAATTCAACCGAAACGATGTCAAACATAAACTTCGATAACGAGACAAGCAATATGTAATGAAAACTGTTGCGCAAGTGTTCAGTTTCAATTGAATGGAACCAGCATTCAACATCAAGAACAAATTTTCCGTTGTTGTTTCTCCCTTGCAAAATCTAATTTCAGCACAATGAAACACATTTAATGTTAAAACGTAAAATTCGTAAATCTCAGCTAATAAAATTATGAATTCTCTCCGAAAAAAATGGAATCCGATGAAAATTTTAACTCCTTCTTCGGTTCGATGACTTTGTTTTTTGGTTTTCCGTTTGCGAAAAATATTGAATTTCTTGTAACTCTACCGTTGAAAACTATCCCAATTTCTAAACGGATTATTTGACGATGTAACGTGAATTCGTATCGACGGTACAGAAATAATTTTTTTTGACACGCAGAACAGAGTCTATTGACCGTCTCGTACGGTGTTCGCACGATGAATGATTCTAACGACTATTTATATTGTTGCTTCTTGTTTAGAATTTTAAACTACCGACGCACAGATGAAACAAGTTCTCCATGCTCTGCTCTCTCCCACTTTTACTCTCCGTCAAAAACACAGAACGCGGCGGTGTCGCTCTCTTCCTGCATGTTTCATACGGTTCGCTCTCTCTCTGTGAGTGTGTCGGAATGTTATGCTATGCTCTCAGCTTGGCGCACACCAATTCTCTCTCACACATTCTTTCATTCTCTCTCCTTTCTCACGCTGCACGTTACTCCGCTCCTCCAACATGTCACACCGACAACGAGGAAAAAAATGTAAAAACAACATTTACTACGAGAACGATAGATGTAACAAGGCTCGCGGTGAGCAACTGACGATTTGCTCAACATGTGACACACAACATGTCACATCATTTGCGCATAAATATGAGAGCGATACGACTATTGACATGTGCGACGATTCCACATCAAATTGAACAGTCTGTTGATACATGAAATGAATATTCATACATTCTATACATATTTTATAATTGTTATATGTTGAAACCAAATATAAACATAATTGATTCGTTGAGGCAAAAATTAATTCTGTTGAGCTGCCCATGTGAGAATATTGTAACTGAGCAGTCGGTTAATTGATTTCGGACAAAAATGACTTACTTTGATTGACATTTCAGTACAAAGTGTAGTGTAAGTCTATCATAGTTAACTGAAATCATTTGAAGTTACAAATCAATGTAAGTTGCTTAATTTGGGACAAAGTGATTTTCTTAGAACAAAAACATAAATTCAATCAATTAGAGTCAACTGAAGTTACAGTCAGTCATTTTTTTTTCCACACGGGATGTTCTAGGGAAAAAAAGACCATTGTTAATAAATGTGTTTTATTTTATATGAAAAGTGGTTGAAGCTCGAAAAATCACTAAATTCAATGGTAAAATGCAACATGATTGATGAAAAATAAAATCTTGCATAAAAACATCAACAAAATTCATTCAATGCAAATCTGGTATTCGAATAAAAAAATATGCACATACCTAATTCAATATAAATGGTTAAATCATAAAAACACCATGGTGAAGCTCAACAAATTCGGAAATTCATTCAAACTTGATAAAATAAACTATTTTTCTCATCAACAATGAAGCCACAGACATATGTTGCATGTTCGATATTTCCGTGGTTTTTATTACAATTTCGAAATATTCTAGTTTTATTATGAATCAAAAATGCTTTGAATTCAGGCTGGAATGCGTTCTATTTTTCCAATTATTGTTGTGCACTGACGCGAACCTCGGATGTGAATGATTGAATTTTTGTGTGGATCCTCTTGGGATTTTGTAACATTGCATGTACGTGAAATGCGAGGAATTTCAAGTTGTTTACATTAAGTACTAGGCGGCATTGTGTATGAATGCCAGTTTATTTGCATGAGCCTCGTTCGATGATGAATGAAGCGCACGTCAAAATTTGAGCCAAACAGGTAAAAAAAAATAACTCGATTCAAATGAATGAAAACAAATTGATTTGTTTATAGCGTATGTGTTATGAAAAATGTTACGTTTTTTTTCCTTCATTCTTCAGCTGCGACATATTTCGATGTGACTTACAAAAGCGTGTTAAAACCCATGTTAAAAATTATCGGTGCAAAAAAACGCGAGTAAAAGTTTACTTTGTAATAAATGACATGGAATCAATACCAAAGAGGAAGTATTTGCCGCACTTTTCCCCTATGACATCGTTGCAATAAGTGAATTTTTCATATTTAATTCGATTCCCATTTGCATTTAATCCTTTAAAGGGTTTATTTTTTCTCTCGGTAGGCCAACATCAAACGCATATCCCACCCACTCAAATTAAATGACTCACTGCATTAATAAATTGAAACCCATTCAAAGCGATCAAAAAATAATATATTTAAGAGAAGTGCAAGTGGATGCAGATCGATGGCTAAATGACGGTTGTCCTGACAATAATGGATTGTTGCGAAATTCATTAATTTGAATAAGTGTTTGTTCACCTCTGCAGCACTGCGCTCTCGGGAATATCGGCCCAATACTATTGGTTACTGTTTCAATCGCAGTTGTTTGTTCTGCTTGCCGCTGTATGTTCATCTCGGTGGCTGAAAAATTCGAGCAAACATCACACGAACGGAATTAAAATCCGATTCGTAACTATAGCAATCATGTTGGATATATCAAAATCACACATATATGTGTGTGTGTGCTGTGTAGTACAATTTAAAATCGTGTACTATATCGATATAATTTAATGAGTCGTCATCAAACAACCATTCATCGAATTGCAGAAAATAACTTTGCTGCGTAAATATTTCATCGAATGCTTCGAGCTGGAAACACAAAACTTCATTAACATTAATGACATGCTTACTGCGAACAAATCGCTCTAATGGAATTATTTATTTGCAAATTTAGTTAAAAATCACTCACGATAATGAATCACATTTCGCGGTCATACATGTGTGTATGCAGAATCCCGTACGTCATTAAATTTCCGAACGAATGATTGATTGCGTCAATGGACTAAACTACAAACAAAATAGTTGCACATATCTAATGAATGCCGATTTATTTTCATACATGGAAAACATTTACCTATTTCCCATCATCGGCAACATCACATGCTATACTCATTGTTATCGAATTCCGGACGAATGTCCTAAATGGAAGAGAAAAATGATGGGAAAAACAATAATTTGGTAATATAAAATGCATTGCAATAATGTACAGCTTAAGCATGACAATAAAATCGATCAAAACCGAAATGAAACAATTTTCAATTGCATTTCTGATATGCACTCCATTTCAACACGTTGGCACAACAATGGAAAATAACGTAGTAAAAATCTTTTTGTGTATTTTATTGAATATGGTTTTTCCATTGGTTTTGCACTTGACATGAATCCAAATTAATTTACATTCGGCGAATGCGGAATATTAAATTTGCAACCAATACAGAAATTAAAAATTGATTAAGAACATTCATTGAGTGTGCAGTGTGCATCAAAAACAATGTAAATGCACTGTGGTATGCAATGATATAACAAAAATATAGTTTTTCCATTGCTATTTTATCATCTGGAAAATTAAATCGCGTTTTTACCCAGTAAACTTTACCTACCACAATTTCCCATTGCCAGTAGCTGTTTACATGCAGCGTTGTCTATCAACTCAAAATCATTATATTTAATTGATTCGATACGAGAATGCAGCGGCAAGTACTAAGAATTGTCAAGTGTATAAATAGTATCGATCGAAAGCCAACAACAAAAATGTAAACGTCTCCAAAATGTTTTGTTATTCGACAGTTTCAATAATCCGCTAAGCTTCAAGTGGCTAAATAATGAGCTGTATTTCAAGCATTTCGTTATAGCATCAGATTCGCGAATATTTTTCGAAAGTCAGTAAAACTAATATCAAAGTGTGCCCCAGTTAATTCTCTTCCGTTTTGTGAGCAAAAACATATTACGAATTCTGCGGTTTTCATTCTGTTTGCAAAATTCAGCAGCAATGTAATCAGATTGAATGGAATTCTCTTGTGCACGACGTTGAATCATGTAACATCATTTGAATTTTCCCATCGCTTAAATTGTCGCCGTAAATTGTTTTTTAAATACCTTCTAATTCCAAAGTTTTTTTCTCTTCTCTACACTCACTTTGTTTATAAACACACAGACAAGAGCCATGTGATACCAAAAAAAAACTTCTCAATGAGATGTTCTCATTCCTGTCGGTTTTTCTCAACGTTTTTTTTCTGCGCTTCTTCTCGTCGAATCACATGGAAAAGCCATTAATATTACATTGGTACATCGTTAGCGATGGCACATCATTTTGTTTCAAGTAGTCAAAATAAGGACAAATTTAATGCATAACTCACAGTGTGCTGCTAATGGCACAAATAATCTGAATTTGCAACAAAATAAATCCGATTGAAAATGACGATTAGAGAAAAAAATAAGCAAAGCGTTTCCAATTAAAATGAAGGAATTTAACTTTATTTATTTTGAAAAGAAAACCCGCACCGAAATAATGTAGATTTATCCGCTTCTCGTCACGGACATCATTATTTTAACGTCGTTTTCCATTTTCGTACAGGTACGATGGATATTATGAAATTGCAATTGTATAATTGATATATTTCCTCATTCAGCGTCGTACCTTGAAATATGTTCTTACAATGAGTTTACAATGAATTGTTTTTCAATGCAAATAGTACTTTCGCTTTTTACTTCTAAGTCCCCTAATTCTTGGGAAATTTATACATCAATTATGTTTAAAATAATATCTCGAAAATCTATTTGTGTAGCGCGTTCAGTGGAAAAGCTATATTTACTTCAATTGCTAACACAAACACACACTCAACATCCGTCCTACATTCAGTTACTTCTGTTTGGTTGAACCCATGCTCTCATTGCTCCCTTCTCACATTCGGATTAACCAAATACCGGAACATTTTCCACTTTTGAACTGTATACACAGACGTAGAAGTGCATGTGTTTACATTTCGAAATGGACAATCGTTGGTCATGTGCTCACTTGGCCACGAATTGACCGAACCGTTCCATTTTGAAAAATAAATAAAATCGAGAGAAAATTAAATATTTTCCATTTCTCTCTGTTGGATCCAATCAATTGCTGTTTCAATGTGTACCTTTGCTCACTTTGCACTTGTTGTTCGCTTCAGCTTATGATATGCTTTGCAATATGCTGTATGGCTCTAATTGAAACAGCAACATATTCACATCTTCGGAATTATATAGATTTATATTGCACCATGTTTAATGTAATACCATAAATAAATAACAAAATCTATTAAGTTCAAGTATATGTTTGTTTTTTGTTTCCGTACAAATATCGATAATTAAATCCATTATCCGTAATTATTCGGGTGCTGGCAATCGAAAACAGTGGCTAGTCCTAAACATAGGCGAACAGCTTCGAAACTTTGATTCCGAATGGTATGCAAATATCAACTATTTTTTCAACG